ATTTCGTAGTATAAGAGAAACTAATGGTGATCCATCATTAGCTGTTGATGGTTTTGAAGAGCCGTTAGAATGGTCGAAGTGTGCTACCATTGATAATTATTTTGTTAAAAAACCTGTTTGGATGGTTGATTTAGGTCGACGAACAAATGTAGCTGGTGTTATGTTAAGAACATGGCATGAAAATAAAGGTAGTAACTAGAAAAATACATTGAATCAAAAGAAATTATTATTCATTTTGTTTTTATTGAAGAATCTAATACATCTTCAACAATTTATCGAAATTATTTAACAAACTTAGATCGATATAGTGTTTATGTTGATCATTATCCACGACGATATCGTTTTCAAAATAATAATTTATGTTCTTATATAACACGTACTGATCAAGCATTAACTTCATCATCTCGTTTACATTTTCAATGTCAACGTCCATTAGATGGTCGTTTTGTTTATATTGAAGCAGACGGTACTAGTAATCATTGGAATAAATTATTTACTGCTGTACTTTGTGAAGTGTTTGTATATGAGCAGTAGATTGAAAATTTATTCGTCTTGGTTTTTCTACAACATTCAATTGTCAGATTTTCATTGTGTTTGTCTTCTATTAGTATTTTATGTTTTGTTAAAACTAGATATAAATAAAAAGGATGAGTTGTGTTCTTTTTTTGATTAACTGATAATTTAACACGATGAAATGAATAGTGTCGACTAAATTGGTTTATACTGGAATAAGTATTCGATATCCAAAAAAGATGTATGAGTAAAATATCTATGTTTGCATGTTAGGAAGAAAGCATATGATTGAGTACCATCTTTCATTTTGATAGAATGATACTAATGATGGCTATCAGAGATTCACGACTCGACAAGTTAAAACACTTCGCTGGGAAGCTAGGAAAGGACGAGGCAGTGCGAGATTTGGCGAATCATCTCGTCGGTTTACGATGCATTTTTTGCTGAATATGTATTATACTAGACTCAAAAAACAAAATACAAAAAAGGTAATAATATCGAAATGAAAACCTATGATTTATATGATTCCACCAGGAAACGAAGAAAAAATAGTAATTCAAAGAATAATTTAGTATCTAGTTGCAATGAAACACATTTATATGTTATCGAAATTCAAAAGCTTTTTCAAGCTTCTGGTGAACACGTCTATCATCGGGAAACAATAATAAAAATAACCAAAAATGAAGAACCATTAATGTATTTAGATCTAACCAAATAATTTAACAAATAGTGTTATTGAATAAAGAGAGAGGATGTGGTGGGTGTGGCTGTGACTGTAAGTGGGGCTCGATGAGGGTGAGTGTGATTGAAACAATAATCATAACCACACCCTTTTTGTTCAAATTGTACATCTTTGTTACTCTTGTTTTATATGTAAATCTTCTTCAAAGCTGAATCTTCTTCTTATTTTAAACATGAAGCGTGTTCTTCTTTGAAACGTAAATCTTCATTATATTCTAAACATGAAGCTTGTTCTTCTTCGAGAGTTGTAACGACGAGCGTGACTTGTTGCCAGAGTTTGTTTCAAAGAGAGGTACAAGGCAATTAACTCAAAGTCTTTTTCGAGAATCTTTCAATCAATTAAAATTTTTACCTTAGTTTAGTTGATTGACTCAAGCATATTAAGCAAGAATTACATAATTTTATTCAGCTGAACGTTCCCTATTGAGCACACATATTCGTGTTAAAATTTATCAGTGTAGCTTGTTTCGGTGCTAAAATATGAAACTCACAAACTCTGATTGTGATAACTTTATAGTTTATTGCCAAAGGTCTTAAAATAATTCATTCAGAATCAATACCAAAGACATGTATAAACTAAATATATAAAAAATTAAGTGTTTGAGAGGCGCGCTCTGAAATTTTATCATTTTGAAAATATTGGCATTTTTAATTACTTTTCTATCAATTTATTCGATTCATTTAGCGCGGTTATATATCGGAAAAACTTACCGTCGATTCAACGACCATATTAGCTTGCTATACATATTGATTTGATCGTTCAGTGAGCTACCGCACACCTTATACTTTCTCTCGATGAATTTTAACATAATTGGTTGCGTTTTGCTTAAAACGAAAGTTTAAGTAATTCATATTTTTTCTATGGTCGTTTTATTCTCATTCTAATGAATCAAAAATACAACCGCCTTATTGAGTAACACTCATGATAAAATCCTTTTGCTGCACAAAAAATGAAAACCCATAATATTTAGATTAAATAGTTACAATCTACATGCATTTAGAATGATCTGAGCCCTAATACCTCCTCCAATTGCTAAGGTCTGTAATAGGCGAACCATAGGGAAAATAGGAAGCCATAAAACCTTGATTTGAAAGTTACACATACGATTTTCTTCGAAACTATATGTGAGTTCCACAAAAACTATTTTTTTCTTAGTAGACATCATAGAAAAACACCAATCCGCCTCATTCGAAATAATTTAATAGTGCTCGACATCAACACTGTCTTTATACGTTCCATCGAGGTTAGCAGGAAATATCTTCAAATCCTTTTTCTTCTCTGTAAGTAAAAATCAAAGGAAAACAAGGTTTTCTTGCATTACTAGTGCGGACTGCGGCCTGAACAGTTAAAATTATCTCATGCAATCGTCGTCGATTTCAGTTTAATAGCGCATTGTGAGAAAAAAATTTCAAATACATTTTTCGCCAAATCTCAAACGGCATAGATTCACCTTCTATTATGACATCTTCACTCAAGTAAAAGAGTTTAAACTTTAGGTATGAACGACTCTATTTGCTTTGGTATGAAAATACTGATGAGACTCGTGCATCCCACCGATACTTACACTGTATCAACCAACTTGGCAAAAATAAAATAATTCTTAACGTATTACATGCTAGGAAAATATTGTCTCTTGACTGTATTGATAAGCAAGTATTGTTACATAGCAAAGTCTATAGACTCTTGTGAGTATATATTGCAGATATTTAATGAAAATAGATCCCCGACGTTAGCAACTATTTACAATGAAATACGATAGAAAATGATCATCGTTCATTAAACTTTTTACAGTTGTCGTATACGATGTCTTATGATATTAGCTAAACAGCGTTACAGCCACCGTATTGTTATGCTATTCTTTATCAAGAAGTAACGTTGATCAACATTGAATATTGATTCACTGAGTCCTAGACTGACAGAATGATGACAAAGATGTCCTTATATTTTTACATAAAACTTAATTCTGTACAACGCTGACTTTAGGAGAAATTATTATTATTTGTAACATATTCTATATTACATACTATGGATATATTCAAACAGTTGACATAAAATATTGAAAGATGCTAATGTATATGATAAAGTTTCTGCTTTAGTTGATTATAACGAATAAAAATGATGATTTATGCCATAGAAATGTTCGTTTCTACCACGGACATGGCCAATTGTGACACAAAAAATGCTCATTTGTGCCATAAGAATGGTCAACTGTGCCATAGAAATGGTGAGTTGAGCCCTCAAAACAGTCATTTGTATCATGAAAGTGGCGAATTGTGTCACCGAAAAGGTCATTTGTGCCAAGTCCTTATTATAGACAGACAGACACAGGTGAATTCCGGTTTCTAGACCCTAGCCTTTCAGTCTAGAGAATAATTCGCTACAGTTCTTGTTTACGATTGCTGTCAACGATCACCGCAAACAGCAGTCGTTAATAGTTTTGCAAAAAAAAATGTTAATTTAAAAAAGTGATAAACAACTTGTTTATTATTATATAAAGAGAATGATTTTTTTTTAACGGCCACCGTTTCCCTTTATTTTCTGTACCGGAGAATGCATATTGGCTATGAGTTTCTCGAAAAGAACACGACGAAGATGCAAATTGAAAATTTATGACGATAGAATGGTATGATTCACCTTTATCACAAGAACGCAAAATAAGTGATGAATCATTATTCAGACTGAAGGGCATGCATAGTCTGATTCACTAACAGAGTGTGTTGAGTCTTGCTCTTGATTCTCCTCGCATCAGAACAGAGAAACAAGAAACCGTACGGAATTTATTTTTCTCTTCCTCTTTTTATCCGCGCGCAAGGTTCTATATAAAATGCCATTCTTCAGTCTTTCTATCATTTCTTGATTTGAACTAGTAAACGACGTGCCACATTTTGTACATGGTAAAACATGCTTCTGATTCATTTTTCTTTCTTCAATTAATCTAAGAGCAAACTACATCCATTGTCAACATATATTTGACAATAGATTATCTTGTATAAAGTCACGAGTTATTCAGCAAAAGAAAAATATCGATTTTCGAGTTATTTTATCGTCGCCATAAAATGGATTATTTTGTCTTTCTTTCACTATTCATCATGACTCACCGTCATATGAAATTGCGATCTTAATTATTATTCTTAGAATTTTCTTTATTTCGTCATTTTTCAAGTTTCTTTTCATTTCTAGTCGCTCTCATCCGTTCTGGATCGATCAATCAAAATGAAAAGCAAAATTCCGGTCCGACGCACTGCCGTGCATTGTTCTTTCGTAATATTGTTGGTTTGGTTATGTCGACAAACAGTGACTAAAGTGGACATAATCGAATTAAAGCCTTCTGGCATTGATTTATCCAACAATGTCGACAGTTATTCTTCTTCTGCATCTATTGATTCAACCAAAGCCAATCTCGGTCGTATATTCTTTCATCGTCTGATCCATGACAATGACTCATTCGAACTTATCAACGAAGAAAATCTGTGTTCATTAATCCATTTCTTCTTCCAACAGGCCACACTTAACAATCAATCAGTTCAATTTTTATCAGGTCAGTTGTGTGATAGTGAGCGTTTCCTACCGAAAACGAAGTTTACGCCATTCACAAAACACCTTTTCCATCCAACTATAAACAAGAGTGAAGAGCAGTGTGATAAAATCATGAAATTTTTTCACTACAGAATGAGAACTTTATCAAGAATCTATTTAAGGTACATTTGTTCTTTATGATTCGACTGGACGCCTTTTTCCTCGACTAATGATGGCCAAAAATATGCAACTTCACAGTGACGAACATCGTTCGGGTTATATTCTTCGCCTTCAACATTTTACTCTCGATGCAATATTATCGATATGGCAAAGACTTTTAGGTCGTCGATACTCGATTCCATTGCCTTTCATCTATTTACGCGGCGATGAATCATCCCATTTTCATGAACGTGGAACCAAGTACGAACGATGGCATGATTATCCAGCTTAGTACGTATCGAAATCCACCATTTCGCTAACTTCTACATCATGTTGTGCCTGTTTTAGTGGCGCCGACATTCGGCATGGATGTCTACCAAATTATTTCGGTCATATCTTATTCGGTAAATTGAAAAGTTTGCCCAATCCAACTCATCCTCAATATCGAGGTGATCGCATCTACATAAAGCCCGAAGAATATGGATTACAACGATTTCCACATTATATTGCACGTAAGTATGCTGATTTCTTTCGATAGTATTGTTCTATAAGTTCGATATTCAGATGCCGGCCATTATCTGCGATCGGTATCACAAATGCTCTTGTGTCGATGGATTGATTGTTGGACTATGAACTTGTGTGTACGGGACGGAGTCTTTCACGAATGGACAGATCGCATCTGGATCAAAGAGTGGCAACATATATTGGGCACTTTGACTCAAGACGAATGGCATCAAATGCGAGCTCAAGCTTTATCGAATGGTATTCAAGAGATTTATCGACAGACGCTTCTGTTTCCATCGCACCCGCGTGTTGAAAATTTTCGCACAAAACTCGAACATCACTACGGCTCGGATGTCAGTGCACGTAAAGGCAATGAGATCATTCTGACAACGGAACAACTATTAAGCGTTCAATCTACATGTGATTCATCTGCAGATGATATTAATTCACTACTGTGATAATTCAACCGTTGATCAAACGTCAAGTGAATGTTTGGAAGTCAACAGTCGTTGAGTAAGCTACTCGACTGTAGCATCAGTAATGTTCTGCCGTTTGAGTCAATTGAAGAAACATACTGTGCATTAATTCTTCGTCAACAGTGCAATGTCTGATACATATTTTGGTACATTTTCTCGAAATAACCTTTTTCTTCAGATTTCAAATCGTTTTGCTGTGATGAACATTTACTAAATAAAAAATTCTGGTTCGATATTAAAAAAAGAAATAATGCGACTCAATATTGATTAAATATTAATTTGTAAGCGCATATGTTCGAAAATTAAGTTTCGTTTAATGACGTGCATGTAGGTACGTCAAATAACAACTTCATCACTTTGATGATGCGTTTGAGTTGAAATAGTTTACGCAAAATATTTTGAATAGCCACATGTTCTTAAAACGCTATACTAGGTTCATACAATGACTGAATACAATTAACATTCGTTAGGGCAAGCACTGAAATATTAATTGATTGCAAAATTATCATAATCAAGATTTCTTGATTAAATCGACTTATAATGGAACCTTTTGTACTGATCATCAAGAAGATTGACCAAGATTCGGGTGAAATGAAAGCTCTCACCACCAAACTAACAAATTTTAAATATTACATGCCCATAGCGTACCTAGAGCAAGTTACTTGAGTTTCAAGGTATGCGAAATTTATGTATAAAAATAAATCAGAAAAGATTTTCTCCACTATTATAAGGACAAAGCATAGTGTTGTTCGGATCGATTAGGGGTTTGTAGGAGTCTTCTTTCATATGACCCGAACAACTGCATGTTTTGTCCTTACAAAAGTGGAGACAACCTTTCCTGATTCATTTTTATATCTAAATTTTATATACCTTGAAACTCAAGTAACTTGCTCTAGGTACGCTATGGGCATGTAATATTTAAAATTTGTTAGTTTGGTGATGAGAGCTTTCATTTGACCCGAATATGGTCAATCTTTTTGATGATCAGTACAAAAGGCTCCATTGTTAGATTGTGTTCTATAACTAATATCATATTCTTACAATTAACAAATAAACAATATGACGCATTGTATCAATATTATCAATGTTTACTAGCATATCATGTCTAAAAGTTTAAAGGACATCACAAACATTGGCTCAAGCAATGGGTGGGTCAATCATAAAATGCTTTAGATACTTAAAAGTTTCAAAGATAATCAAGTTTATTGTACAAAAATTTGGAAGGCAAAGTTTTCCACAAATAAAACTTATAGAAATCATCTTATCTGATTCTACCAATTAAGTTTCACAGAGCAATTGAAATCTTCATAGATGTTAAATTTTAAAGATTGATATATCTCGTTTGAAGAATGCGTGGTTGTTTATCGAACACTACTGAATCATGGGTTATCGACAATGTCAATTCTGAATATGATCACAAAAACGATACGCATACATTCTTGTCCGTTGTTCTTCTGAAAACAGATTTCACAGACTGACAAATATTTTACTAAAACCCGTTTTGGACCTACTCAGACTGAAGTATATCAAATTGTTTAGAAAACAGTGAATTTTTCTGTTTTTCAAGAATGGTCTTTTAAGTAAACTGATATCATCTTGCAGGTTTTCACATCAAAATGTTGATATGTACTTATTATATGAATTAAAATGTATGTATGTTCTGCACAAAAAACGATTTTCGATAGAATGTTTGTAAGTCTGAAGAACTGATTTTCTAGAAAACCTCTGACGAAAAAGTGATTGATTCGTTGACAATGTTTCATCATAAGATGCAATATAATCATGAACCATTAAATACTTCTTAATCCACGAAAAATGATCAATTTTGCCTCCAGTCCTCTATTCACTATCGTTTTTGAGTTATGGATGTTTTTGTTCCTTGTAGTATCTATATCAAACTTATGAAGAGAAAACAAACCCATTAAATTTAATGTTTTATCTTAAACTAACAAATTCTTTTCAGGTCTTTTTTATTAGCGTTAAAAATAAACTCATGATTTCCTTTATTCTTGGTTACACATGTGACAAGACAACTTTCTTATCTTTGTCATCATAGACAATAGACAAATAAAGTAAAACTCTTCACAATTCTCGAAAACGACTCATACACATGCTCGACTTCCTTTCACATAAAATTTATTTATATTAATTATTAATTTATTGTTTTTCTAAGCGTTGAGCAAGGATGGTATTTGAAAAGATCGTTGTAAATCTATTGGATAAATATTTAAGTAATTATATTGAAAATTTGGATTATAAAAAGCTTAAAGTGGATATATGGAGTGGTATGTATTATTTTATTTACTATAGGAAAAAAAACGATTTTTCTACAAATTATTTCTAGGTAATGTTATGCTAGAAAACCTTTATCTAAAACCAAATGCTCTTGTAAATTTTTTTCAAAATATTAAAATTCAATATTTTACATGTATATTAATTATAGGCTGATCTTCATCTTCCAGTAACTGTAACCATTGGATACCTTAGTAAGATTTATATATTTTAAATGTTTTGTTTTAGTTCTTATTTCATTTTAGGAAAACTGACACTTCAAGTTCCATGGAAAAATTTATATACACATCCAACAAAACTCACTATCGATGGACTCTATGTACATGTTATACCCAAAATTGGTTTGTTCTTTGTCGTATTCATTATCATCATTTACTATATTTATTAATAGAAATTGAATATAATGCTAAGCAAGATGAAAAAGAACAACATGAAGCTAAAATGAAAGAAGTTGATAAAATTGAAAATATTTATAAAGACAAAGAAGTTCCTCGTAAATTTTGAAAAAAAAAAGACTCAACCATATAATTTCATTTTTCTTTTAAAGAGAATATAAAAAAGATTGAAAAAGATAATGATACATTTAGCGCAAGAGTGAAATTACAAATTATTCAAAATCTTGAATTATTAATTCGTAATATTCATATTGTTTATGAAGATAAAACAACTAAACCAAATCATCCATTTGCATTTGGTATCACACTTAATTACATTACATTTCAAGTAGGAAAAAAAATTTCAAAAAAGAAAAAGAACTTGAATGTATAATTTTATTTATTGCATATTTCTAGACAACTAACAAAGAATGGATACCAACAATAATCAAAGAGAATAGTCCAGTTATTTACAAAGTATGATTACGGATTGTCAGATATTCGTCAATATGACTTTCGTCAATACAAGTGTATCTTTATCATTGATTACACTGATATATATTGGCGTGGCCACGCATGACGGAATTTCACTTTTTCAAATCGCCACCTGTATAACGTCTTAGCAATAGAAGGAAGCTACCTGAAATTTTTATCACAACTAGAGCTCGCTTAAATCTATTATTAGTAAAAATTTCATTAATTTCTTTTCAACCGCAGCGAAGTTATTCAAAAAATAGTGACCGTTACGGAATTTCTAAAAATGGAAATTTATTTTAGGGTGACTACGAGTGAAACATTTTTATACGAAAGAGCGAACTATTCAAATGAATGCTACATTCAAAAGTTGTTCAACTTTTACCAAGGTATTAGAACATCAGGTCATTTCTGATTCATCTAAGCTTCATCAAATAAAAAAATTGGAATATCGCTCGTTACGAAATTTCATCTTTTTTGGAAGTTCAACAGGGAAATATTTGAGAACTTACCATTTCAAACTATAAAGATAAAGCTCATCTTTTTTCTGATACATGAGTAGTACAAAGACAGTTTTATCTTTCTAATATATTAGTTTTATTCTTGCAATGAAATCTCATAAGAATATCTAGCTATTTTTAAGACGAGATTGCACTGTGAAGAAATGAAAAGATATGCTTTTTTTGACGAAATTAGTCAATAAATCTCTTTTTCAATATCTGTCGGGCCAAAAAGTGGAGTTTACATCACTCCTTTTATAGCTTGCAACAAGTTTGGTAATCTGTTGATAGCACACTTTCGACTATCGAGACAGTATTCCTCACTTTGTGATTTTAAACCTTTCCCACACGAGGATGACCGATGCGTGGCCATGCCGATATATATATCAGTTATATTAATAGATGATATTCATCTATATCGTAATCGGATATAAATTTTACTTAAATAACATCCATAACGACATATACTACTATCCATTTAAAAAAAATGTCGACGATTGTTTTCTTGAATAAGTTTTGATAGCAACGATGAAGAAAGAACCACTGTTGTCTATCGGTAGAGAAACGTCTTCTTATTCGATCTACCTAAACCTCAACTTCACGACCGATTTCATTCATGAGTTGCAAGGATTCTTCTAAGACATCTATTTCAACAGACCAACCTTGAAAAGCTCCAAAAGAGCTTCAAACTGGAATAATTCATCACGTTGAGTCAAAGGTTGATATTTGTTGTCAATTTCAAAGTGACCTGAGACCACTATGTGAATATTTGCAAAAGTGTGAATATCAAATATTGCTGTTTGACTTAGCATGATAAATTACCTCCACATGAACCCTTCTAATGTCAATATGCTGCAGTAGGAAGTCTCCAGAAAATCCTTGCAACTCTTACATGAAAGCCGCTACAAATTTGGATGTCCCCACGGTGGTTCTATCTTGAACGATGAAAACGCTCACTCGCTGCATTGTTCTTAGCAAAACTTATTTAAGAAACAACTGCCGGCATTCTTTTTTGAAATCAATAATAGTAAAAGAACTCACAAGTGTCAATCGCAACAAGCAAAGACAACAATTATTTAAAATACAAGTAGCTACAGCTTCTATTGAAACTGAAATATTATCGAGGTTTCAACAACAATTATCAGTTTTATAAATTGAATCTACATTTGAAGATAAAAACTTGCACAAAAACATTGATATCTCAATGATAAAATTTATTTGTTCATCAAATCTGATTTCATCGTCAGTGGTTGACCTTTGAAAGGGCAAAATGGTCGAAAAGCACTCTATAAAATCCAGACTACGAAGACATATTTGTTCACTATGTGAGATAATACGAACAGTCTAATAGAGACTATCGAAAATTCATGAGAAAAAAAAACAGTTTTCACCATAATCAAATACTTCAATTTTTTCTTTACTTGCAAGGTGACTATGACCATCATTCATTTTAAAAAATTAAAGAGTACTTTTTTGTGAATCAACAAAAGAAATAACTGAGGATGATAGTTGACCTATAACCGAGAGAAATCGGGTTCATGATGATAGACTTTTAATTGTATAGTAGTTAGTTTTCCAACGATTTTAGTTAGCCTCTTCAAGGCATTATTCGTCACTGTTACTACTAGGTGAAGATATAAACCAATAGAATAATGAGTAAAGCAATAATACACTATAGATTTTTGAAGTCAGCGTTTGCACTGGATATATCACTTGTTTTTCATAGTGTTTGTTTTCAATACTTTTCTTTTCAACCTTTATACATCACAACTGGTCAATAAAAAAAAAATAACCTAGTTCAAGTAATACGAGCTGTTTCATGCCAGAAAATGCGAAAAGGTGATAGGAGCTGGGAAGTAGAGATTCAGTGATCAGATTCGACAGCGGGATTCTTTTTTAGTTTCCGTCTGAGTCAGCTTTTGGATCTGATCACCAGATATCTGCTTCCAAATCTATACAACTTTCCCGAGTTTTCCAACGGGAATCTATTGGAAGTTTACAGATCCAAGAGTCAGAATCATTGACTTTGGAACTCAATAGAGAACAAATAAAAAAAACAATTATCTCATTTCCATACCCTCCAATTCTTTTCTTCTTTATTGAACTATTTTTAACCTCAAAGTTAATTTGGTTATATCCGAATATATGCCAACTGCAAGCAACAAGATATATTTCAATAAGATTAGATATAGTTCTCACATGTATGCTGTATCTGTAGTGTCTACGACAATTGGCGAAAGTCTTATTGGCGAGGAACAGGAACCGCATTTTTTAAAGTATACTAATAAAGACTTTCTTTTTGGATTTCTAGCTTGGCGAGTTGAATGCTTTATCAATTTATTGGAATACAAATATTAAATCAAATTCAAATTTACCAAGAAATGAAATCATTGTAGGTTAATCTATTTCATATTTGCAAAAACTATTTTCAATTTAGAAAAATTTACAAACAAAAATTGCGATTAATAATGATCAAGCGCCGAAAGATATGGCATATAGTTAGTTTATGAACGTTAGATTTAATTTCTTTACCGAAGATATAATTTTTGTTTTCAGTCTTTCAACCATTCAATGTTAAAACTAAATTAATCATAACAATGAAACCTCGTCAACAAAAATTCGAAAGGCCTATGTTTTATATAACCATCGATGTAGGACATATTAGTATAAATTTAAATCGTGCTCAGGTTAATTTAATAGAAAATGAAAAAGAAAAAAATCTTTTTATTTTATTATTAGTATTTGGATATACTTGATTTACTTGAATTTCAAGATCATATGACTGCGAAATTGAAGTATATTAAATATCGACCTAAGAAATTCGATAAAACAATACAAAAGTATTATATTTTAATACAGTATGAATATTTGAAAAATACTATTTGATTCATTTAGATGGATATTTGCATATAATGCCATTGTGGAAGAGAAAATTAAACCTCGTTTAGCATGTTATAAATGGGAAAACATAAAAAAACATGTAGAAAATTGTCGAGAATATCGTTATATTTATGTGCAAGGACTTACAGGAAAAATAACTAATGAACAAAAACAACACGCTGAAGTAAGATACATAATTTTGTTCATTTCTTCTTTATTTTTTTGTGTCTTATCACGAATTACGTGTTAAAAATTTTAGGAATTAGAGAAAAAACTCGATGTATTCAATTTAACATACATTCGTCAACGTGCTCAACTTGAAGTTTGTCTTCCTTAATTAAATATCTATCTAGTTTTCAGAAAAAAAAGATCTTTTCTTTTTCAGGCAAGAAAGAAAAAACAACAAGAGCCAAAGACATTATTAGAGAATTTTTCCAACTGGTGGAGGAAAAAGTCAAGTCAAACTGATCCAGGTTAGAAATCGACCAAATCGAATTAATCTCGGTTAACATTTTGTGAAACATTATCTTAATGGAGTATGTAGACGTATAGGAGAAACTTTTGAACGTCTTTCGCTCCCTCCCCATAAACAGTGGCAGACCACTTGGCAACAATCCATCCCTCCTCGCAATGTGTATTTCGACGGACATTTGGCTCAAAATGAAAATCGCACTTCTGCAAGACTTAAATATAGGGCAATATACTTCGAAATATATTCTAACTAATGATAAAGATAACTTTTGTTCTCCACAGCGTTCATCGGAAGGGCTAGTGCCGTAAAATGAGTAATCCATCTACATGCAATCTTCAAACTTTTCTAAAATGTGCCAGAGTCTTCTTCTATTTACTATCTCTTATCTCTATTAGCACAAGCTTAATTGCACTGCAAAGTGGGTTTTCAAAAAAACTCAGATTTTCAGATATTTTTTTGGTTTTTCTAACTTTGAAAAAACATTTAATCGACAAAAATATTATACTCAGAATCAGCGTATTAAACTACGAAGAGCGATATAAAACACAGCATAACTTCGGAAAGAAAAATGTTCTCCAAAAACTTAGGATAAAGATCTGCATGCCATGCAAAAACTGCACAGTGTGCTTCCTCTTATCCTACGTCATACACTGTAACAAATACTGATATAGAATCAAAGACCGTATATCAATAACGTTTTGTTCTTACTTTCACATTGCATTTCTGAAGAATTAAGTAAAAGAATGTTGAAGAAATGTATCTCAAAATAGTGAGAATAAAACAATCTTCCTGTGGTAGTTAGCAACAACACCGGCATCGTGTTTCACATTTTTATCCGATTGAGATTGCGCTAACACCTTTTTTATATTAAAATGACTTATGAACAAATAATGCAAAGATACAGAACTTTGGTATATTTTTACTTGCTTTAATTTAGTTTCGATCAATCTTTGTATAAAATATTTCCCACGAAGAAACAATCTCAACTATGCGTTGTACTTGATTTTTGCCGTGTATGCAAAGACTAGCTGAGAACCTAAATGATCAAATTTCTAGCTAAAATTTTGTTCCTAGATCGACCTTGTACTTGCTAGCTAGAAACACTGAAAACTGTGAATCAACACGAAGCTTACCTTGCTAAGGTATTTATATTTTAAGGAAACATCTGTTTCGAGCTGTTTCTTGTGACTGTTAGGTCTATCTATGATCGATATTTTAGCTCGGAATTCAATTGTAAAAGTTCTCCACGATTCTATGCTCATAGGACAGAAATGGGGTAAAGTGCTGATAACTTGACAAACAAGAAATCAGAAAGTAAAACTCAAATAGATTTTTTTGCGCACTCATTATGATTGATCGAATGGCAATCGTCTCAAGTGAGAAGCGATTGACTGTTAGAAACGTTTCCTTGTCAACTGATTGAATAGATCGGCAAAGAGTCAGTTGTAAAAATATCAAGTTTTCAAACTAAAGTTCTTGTCTATATTCTAATATGGACATAATATATTTCAGTACATTCATTTGAAAAGGAAGCTGATCATTTCTATTATAATGTGCTTTTTCATAGAACTTGACCTTGAAACAATGTTGTCAGCTGAAGAAAAGAAAAAATTATACGAAACTATCGGCTATGAAGGTGAAGATACATCAACGTTGACTTATCCCAAAGATGTAAGTATTATATTATTAATTCTTGTTATATATTCGTATCGTATTTATAAAATAGTATGTCGATATTGATCTTTCAATTCGATTGATTATGCTCGATTTAAATATTTGGTCAAAAGTCAATGAAAATGATCAAGAGTATGTTTAATAAATGAAATATGTTTTCAAAAGATTATTCTATTTTAATTTCAGATTCAGAGTTATTAGTCGTGCTGCTGTACCTGATACAGAAATAATATTTAAACGACGCCCGGCAACTTCTTCTGCTTTGTAAATCATTATATTCTTATCTTAATTTTTGAAAATTATTTTTGCCTTTAGATTTCTTGCTAGTTTAAGGTCATTTCAAGTGTTCGGTATTGCTACCGATTTGAAACAATCAGAATCATCAAATTATAGTCGTCCTGTTCTTGTTTATCCAATTATTCAATCAAAGTCATCAAATAATCAATCAGCGCAACCAAAATTATTAGAAATTGAATTTGAAACCAATCCATTAGATAGAGACTCCGGCTATCGTGTGAAAGTTGTATCACAACCACTTGAAATTATATACAATACCGTAAATATTTAAATCTTTTAAAGTATATCAAATTATGACAATATATATTTTATTATCATAGCCAACTATCAATAAACTTATCGAATGTTTTGAACAGGATACTCGATACAATCTGCAAGGGTAAAATTCAAATATGAAATATGTTTTTTTTCGAATCATTGTCTACTTATAGGGTTAAACAAGCAGCTTATACAACATACACAGATGTTAAACATCAATCTGTATTATTTATGAAATATAATATAGAAACAACAAAAGTACTCGATATTCACATTGATATACAATCACCTTATTTTCTTTTGCCTGAAAATGGTGTCTACTATTAGTAAGTCTTGGTTTTTATTTTTTTTGCAAGGTTTCAGCTTATAATTTTCTTTCAGTGGTTGTCCAGCTCTTTGTTTGGATATGGGTCATTTAGTTTTGCAACAAAGCAGTATTACCAATAAAAATGACGAAGAAGCAATGGTAAAATTGTAACTCTTGAATTTAATTCTTCCATTTCATTCGATGTTTTTTCCGTTAGGACAATTACATTCAATTTCAATTGGAATTAAAAAATTTTCAATTACTCTATGCTAATAAATGTAAATTGTGCTTTTTTTGCCTTCTTGGAATAGATAAAACTATTCTCTAATTGTTCAGATGAAAATTGGCAAAATGCACGTCAACAAGAAGCTACTCATTTACATTTAATTAAACCAATAACACTCAATATAAATCTTTTTAAATGTCTTTATTCGAACAATGTCAATTTTCCTGCGTATGTATTTTTTAAAATAATTTTATTTTTATTTCCATGGTTTTTCAGTTGGAAGATTTCTGGACAAATTCCAACTGTAAATGTGCGAATTTCGGATATGCGTTTATTTAAAATTATAAAACATATTCAATCACTTTCATTTCCACAATCGAATCGTCAAACGATAACCAACACACAAAATAAAACTGAGCTATGGACGATGACGCCTCTGGTTGATATTACTCAACAAACATTAGAAACGATTGAAAATATCACATCTATGAAAAAGGCTCTGGAAACATTAGCTGATGAAAATCAAGAAATTCAAAACAAAATCGAAGAACAATTTACACAAATCGAAGCTAATTTTAAAATTTCACAAGTAACAACTAAGACGCGCATTCTTGAGATTTCCAAGTATACGAAGCACTCGATTTTACCATTATCATATCTTTATGAGAAAAAAAAACAAAAAATATCCTGTAAAAGTTGAACTCGTTATTATTTCAATGAATCATTCAAATTTTTCATGAGTTATACTAGAACATAGAGAATAAAAAACTGAACAAAATTAGCTATTTATAATGTCAACCGACACGAATTTTATAAGGCCAACATGAATGAAAAACGGTTCTTTCGACACGTCTAAAATACTCATTCGATAACAATCTATCTCCTACTCGGATTCAGAACTATAGAGCTTGAAGTTAAGTTTGATATATGTTATGAAACTTTTTATTTTCTATAAAATGGTTGAGAAATATTCAAAAAACAATAGTATCTTCGGAATGCAACGAGATTCATAGCTTTCTTCCACGAATCAATGTTTCAATAGAAAAACAAACTTTTAGCGATTGGCATTGCCATACGATCATTATGAAACAAAATAAATATGACATTCGAAATTAGTGTGAATAACTACATTAGATGCAATACAGTTCAGAGAATTCTTTCATTATGAAAAATTTATCTCTGGTCTCCAACAGCTGTATTTTATCGAAACTCGGATAAGAAATTTTCTAGATGTTAGTTTATCGTAGACAAATAGTTCCTTAAAAAAATACTTGATTCCATGTAGGTTGTCATGCTGCTTTGAAATGTCGTATTTATTTTGCTTTATGATTGTGTTGTGATAATGAAAAACCGCTAAAAATTGTCTTTTTTTCTATTGAAAAAGCATTATATAGAAGACAAGTGTGAATCCTCTTTCGCTTCGAAGATATTATTTTGTAAAGAATGAAAAGCTACATAACATGTGTAAAATTCAGTTTAGAATCTTCTTATTTTGAATCCTAACAGAAGTTAAATGGCTGTTAAACGAACAAGTTACACTTCCCAAATAAAACCATTTTTTTTATTCATGTTGGTCTTACAAAATTTGAGTCGATCGACATTATATTATATTAAGAAAACATAGTACAACTCTCACAAGGTGTTTTTCGCTGTTTTACCTCAAGAGAATATGATAGTGGAAAAAAGTCAACATTGACTACCATTTCAAAGAAAGGGTATCGGAAGCTAAAAGTTTCAGATTGGTAGTTTCGATCATTAATGCATTGAATGCACAAAAATTGTTTTTTATTGAGTGCTTCTTATACTCGATGACCTCATGATTCCTTTTTTTTTAATAATATATCGAAAAAATTCATTTCCATGTTTTAGATCGATCTTCTTCTGGAAGAAGAAAAGGAAGATAAAGACTATCCATTTCTTCGTATTTCATTTGTATCAATCTGTGCACAAACATCGATAAAAACATTTGATATAGAATTCCAGGCATCATTAGATGATTTCACTATTTATCATGAACAATTCATAACAAAAGATAATCATCAGCTTCGTTTTCTTGCTGCTCAACATGAAGAAAATCAAATTATTGATAAAACAAATTCAAAGAAACTAGTTAGTATACATATTTTACATACATCATCAGATAATCCATTATTTACGTCATCGAAATATGATGAACTTGAAAATAAAGTTCGAATACATTTGAGTAAACTTATTGTCACATTACAATTGGAAGCATTATTATCCATCATGAAATTTCAAGATAATATCATGCAAAAATGGCCAACAGATATTTTTGAACAACAAATTAAGAAAACACAATTATCTCGAAAAGTATTTGAAGATAATAGAACAATGTCGACTATTGAAAAATTTGTTAAAACAAATCGTAAGAATTTTCTTTTAAATGTCAGATTGATTTTCTTTTCTGTTCAAGGTTCATCGTCCGCAAGTACACTTGCAATCGAAGCCAATCTAGAAGAATTTCATATAGTTATTGCAACTGTCGATACTCAAATGTTCGATGTTTATGTTCATGGTTTGACTTTTTTCTAATTTTTTTTATGATATCTTTCTTTTGTATAAAGGTGTCCAAGCTAATGTGCATAATAGCTCTAGTGAAACATTGGTTAACTTAATTCTTACCGATTTTTATATGTTCGATCCTCATATGGATGCACGATTTCGAAAGGTAAATTTTCAACGTAATCTAAAAGTGAAGATTTACAATTCAATCTGTTTCATCTCGGAATTCAAATCAATTGATCCTAATATAGATGTAACAAAAGCTTTCAGTGCAATCCCTGCAGGGTTCTATCTATTTTTTGGCACACTTCTTCACTATTCTTTTTGACTGAATCCTTCAGAAATGCAATAAGTAATTTGTATACTTACGAAGAGATGTTATTAGTATACGGTCTGTGATCGTATATCAACAACCACTGTCATAGCCTGTGACAGGAGCGGAGACGGAAGCAAGGAGAGTATTGCTAAAGTGTCTGTCATGGTCTCTGGGGAAAAGTGTAAAATTCCACCCTATGTACTTCAGCACTTCGTTCAAATCATGTTTCACAGAAAAAAAGCATTGCATTGAATGGATAGAGAACTATATTTAAAACTATAACATTGAAAATTCCTTCTGTTGAAGTTTCGCAGCTTATACTTTTTATGATAAATAATACATTTCATTTGAAAAAGAGCATCCATAACCAAGATGCTAGAAGAAGAAGAAAACTCACTTGGACTCAATAGTACAGTGTTGTTCAAGATTTATAGGATGGTCATTATTGGTAATTCATTTTTGTCGTTGTTTTCTGTTCCTTTTTGATATTGTACTCAGAAGATGTCAAATGATTCTTTGATCAGTTAGACATACTTGTATTTTGTTTAGATCATTTCGCAACAAAGTGGAGACAATGAATTACTATCAGTTTCTATGATTCTATTTAACTATCCTAAAAGGCATACAAAAGCTCTTGATGAAGTTGATTGTAGTGTCAGAATTAAATTTGCCAAGGCGAACATATTATTTCTTTATAAATACATTGATCAAATAATGGTATGTTGTCAAAAATATTCGGAATTTTTGTATCTAATCAACGATCATATAGGAATTTATTGACACACTGAATATCTCAAATGCAGCACTTGACCTTACTCAATATCAAGCTAATGCTATTTATGAACAAGTACAAAATTTACAAAATCAAGCATTTAAACTACGTCTAAATGCTACGTTTAATGCACCAAATATAATTGTTCCAATAAATGCCTCTTCTGACGAAGCATTATTTCTTGATTTAGGAAAATTAATACTAGAAACAAAATTTATTGATGATCCAAACACATTACTTGTTGAGCAACAGCAAGTTAACATTGAAAATGTTCGTGCTAGTCGAGTTAAACTGAATAAAAATAATGAAATACAAAGTGAAATAATTCTACTCGAATGTGCAAAATTAAAAATAGATGTGAATAGACTTTTATATCCTGAAAAAATAAAAACTACACCCTATATTTCGCTTACAATGCAATGGGATTTAATTCATGTAAGTTATTTAATAATTATAATTGAAAACATTTGCTTCTTTCAGTTTCAATTAGCTAAAGATGATTATTTATGTGTAATGAAAATTTTGATGGAAAATTTTCAAGAGCAAACAATAACGAATGTTATTCGTGAACAATATCATTATGGACAAGAACAACAAAAACGAGAAGAAGATGCTTTACGAAAAGCTGCTGTTAAAAAACAAAAAGGTTTGATTATTCTTATAGTGAGAAATTAAACATATTTTTTCGATTATAAAACTATTTACTTTTCATCAGTCTATAATTGCGAAAAAAAACAGAAAATATAATGTAAACATATTTATTGTTTTTTTTTCAGAATGGCAGATTGGTAAGATATTTGAAAGCATTAAAGTTCATGCCGAAATCAAAAAACTTGCACTTACACTTTATCTTGGTGAATCAAATTTGGTTGGTTTTTCTTCGCATTTTTTCTCATTTACTTCATTCTTATATTAAATATAGGTTAGTCGTCATGTAAAACATGAAGAAAATTTGAAATTAGCTAATGTACAAATCGATGTATTCGAAGTTATCTTTCGACAACATTCAGATTCAAGTTATAAAGTCATAGCACGTGTAAAAAACTTTCTATTCGATGATCTACGAGAAACTCATAAAGCAGATGCTGTTATACATATGATAGATCGACATTTTACTGTTGATCCAAATTTGTACATGCTTATAGCTAGTTTAGAGTTTAAACCAAAAGATCAAACACGTTTAAAAGCTCAACAAAGAAGTAAATAAATTTCATAAATCATTAGTAAAAAAAACTTTTGCGATTTGTCATTATAGTGAATGTTCAATTGGAAAGTCTTTATATTTGTATTAAATTAGATTATTTGATGATATTAACAGATTTTTTCATGTCAAACTTGCCGATAAATGATACAAATAAATCGAAAAATCAAGCAATAGCAATGACGAAATCTAATGATATTCTTCAAACGAAGAAAATATCTACACAATATGAATCGAATCATAGTCATACTACAATGGCGACTTCTACATTATCCTCGATTGAAGCTACTAATACTGATGTTGAAACTAGAGTTGATATTCTTCTTAAAAATCCTGAAATTATCCTACTCGAAGATCAACATAATTCTAATTCAAATTGTCTTGTACTCAATGTAAGATAAATCATAATCAGAAACAAAAAGAAATATTCTATTTAAATTTTAGTTTGCTCTTACTATGCGTGCGGTTAACATTGGAGATGATATGAAAATATTTAGTACATTAAATGATTTAACTATCTATAGTTCGAATTTTGCTGAATTGAAATCTTCAAAAGTTAAATATCGAGTAAAAAATATGAAGGAATGTCTTGTTGTTTGTTTTTTGAGTCTTATTATTTCTTAGATTTTACAACCAGCCAAAGTCGATTTAACAATAATGATCGATGCAGAACAACAAAAAGTTGATGTTCGTTTTTCACATATTATTATTAATATTACACCAGCTGCTGTTCGCATACTTATTAGTGTTACTAGTTCATTAAGTAAACATCAAGTATATATATATTGTTTATGATTATTACAATTATAATTAAAACTTTCGTATGTATTGTTTAGCCAACAAAAAAACAAGAAAAATTCGATGTTCAAACAATGTTTAATCCAAAATCAATTACCGAATCTAATTTTTGGTATTTGACAGGTAGAATTTCATTTAACTTTTTTTTAATATTGTAAATTCACGGTCATGTTCAGAAGACAGAAATGATGTTCTATCACAGAAAGATTCTCTTGTTGAAAATAAGAAGAAGAAAGGAAAAAATTGTCTTTTTCAACAGGTATGTCGACAATTTATCCAAATTGTTTTGTTTAAAGTGTTTTGTCTTTCATTCAATTAGCTTATTTTAACATTAACAACTATGGAAATAAAACTTAATGTTGGTTTTGGTTCAATAACGAAATCAGTTGGTGCTATGTGTCTATCAGATTGGACAGTTGATCTTAAAAATTGGTCCGATCAGGTTTGATGATCCTTGTCGAGGTTTTTGTATTATATATATACATATTTTAAAGTTGTTTCAGATGACTGCTTCATTGACAATGAATATTGAAGCAGCTTTATACAACAAACATACTCTTGCATGGGAACCTCTTATTGAACCGACACTTGATAAAAATAAAGCACGTCTTATACCATGGCATATCACATGTTCAATTACACCTGTAAGTCCTAGAATCGTTTCGTTTTTTTCATATCAAATAATATTATTCAAATTAATTTTTCATTTTTAATTTATCTTTATTTAAAAATATCTATCTGAAATATTTATATGAAATATGAAATTAAAAATCGTCCAATTTTTATTTCATAATATATTGTTTAGATATTTCCGATTGCTGATCGTGTTGAATCATCATCATCATCATCGACAAATATAAAACAACAACAAAACAAAGTTTCTGGTCTCAATGCTAAACAATTAATTTCAATTAGAGCTCACCAATTATTAAATATAACTATAACAAAAACAGGTCTTGAACTTATTGAACATTTATCATCTTTATTTAATGATATTTATAATCAACGTTTACCAAAAAATATCGATGATAATGAACCAATGTTATCATTAGTAAATTTAACAGGACAAAATTTGTTTATTGACAATCTAAACGGTCTTCAAGTAATTTTATTTTCAAAAATGAAAAAACTTCGATTTAATTTTTTTTTATCTGTTTAATATTCTTAAGTTTGCTGATAACATTACATGGACTTCAAAAGTTATCCAACAAAATGAATCGATTCCATTAAATGCATTCTATGAACGATTATCAGCAACTTATCGTCTTTCTGTTATTGAAGAACAAACTTCTCAAAATCGACAAGAATTTTCTGTTCAAGTAAATTATTATTTATATTTCTTTATTTATTTTAATATAAAATTTAGAATGATAACAATATTAAATTAATAAATATTAATCGAACATGGCAACGTATATATGATTTACAACTATCAACTGCTTCATTGTTTCCTATTCAATTACTTTGTGATACTCAAATACATAATAATTGTCGACGTATTATTCTTAGTTCTGTTGTTAAAGTTTGTTATTTTATAAAGTTTTAAAACGATAATTATTGTTATTTTATTTAAGGTATACAATAATACAACAGTACCAATAGTTATCCTAGATGTTGATTCAAATACAAGAAACTTCTATCATCGAATTGAAATTAATGAATATTATTATGTTCCTATTGATCTTCTGTATAAAAAATTGAATTTACCGATTATTATTGGTGTTGATGAGTAAGAAAAAAAGAGTAGAGACTACTGGATCAACATTTCAAGAACAAGATATTTTTAATTACTTTTTTTCTTTGATTTTAATGAAGCAACTATCCTAACTGATGCCAATCGTTTAAGCACATATTGAGTTCAAAAGGAGATCTCGAAAAGACTGGAAAAATCCTACAAGATTTTCGCATTCATAGACTTCTAAAAGCGAGTTATGACTGTTTGAGCAAACTTTCCTTTCATTTTTAGAAATTAACTGAAAATTTTAATAATGAGATTGCAAACCTATAATTTGGTCGATGGATAGACCTAATGATTCTTGATATATCCTGAAGGTGTCAGTCGAAAAGAATATTCCTTTATCGAGATATTGATTTATGTGACAAGTGACTATTTCTAGGAAACTCTCAATATCTCGACAAAGGAATTATGTTTTTCAGCTGAAATTTTGAAAATACTCTAAAAGTTGTTAGAACTATCTATAGATCGAATTTCAAATCAACGTTCTATTACTTGATGTTCAATAAATACCTAAAAATGAATCGAAAACTCAGTAAAACGATCATAACTCGGCTTCATGCACACGAAGCTTTCTCTACTCCTACCGAGAATTCCTTTCAGTCTCACTATGAGTTCAGACAGCAGATATCAATTCACGTAGTTCTCATGCGAGTATTTAACTCAAGGAGATTAGGACTTTTGAACAATAGAGAACAGAAGTTTTCAAATCGTCAATTGCTCATGAGAAACTAATCTTATCTGAAATAATACAAAATTGTGAATAAGTGTTAGTCGCGATATCTATGTGCTATGACCAAGAACAAGTTTTGGAAGAAGCTCAGTCTGCTCTAACCATATGTCTAGAGAAGGTCCCAACAAAACTTAAATGGACGTGGAAGAAGTGGGGTTCGTCAGGTTACGCTACTACGATAATTTTTACTTTAAAAGTAACATGCATCACTAAACATGAAAAAATACGTAACTTTTAGTTCTGTGATCGAAGATCTTCCGTTTACGGCTGTTCAAACACTCTTTCCTCATCATTAATCTATCAAATCTTGTTAAAGAAGGCATTTTAATAAAAAATTTCATTGAATATTCATATTACTATTTGGATTTAAACTGAATATTTAACATAAAAGATAAAAATATCTTGTTTGCAATAATTTCGATCTGGAACTCTATATGCATATATAATTTTATAGAAATGATCATAATGGATCAATCAGTGACTTTTTTGAATTCTACTGGATAGCGAAAATATATGAAGAAAAAGCAATACAGTTACAAAATGGCACAAAGATCCATTTGATTGTATATGTCATAGTCTTCAGAAAAAATCTTCTTTCTATTCTAATTTATTGATAATAGGCATATACAGAAACAAAAGAAGCGTATTTAGAGAATACCGATCAACTTGAGCGAGTATCATACTGTATTCATATTCATTCAACAATTCATCTAACAAATCTTTTACCAATTGACATTCAATGTTCGATTAATGTAAGTAGAAAAATTTTCGGTTAATTAACTATATTTTTCTTTTGAATAGAATTTGGAACAAATTTATCTTAAACCGAGTCAATTACAACTAATTACATCTGGTGGAAAAAATTCTATACTTACATTTATTGTATGTTGACTTTAAATTATTTCTTGAACCTATATATAATTGTTTGTTTCTATTTTTGATTGTTTAAGATTCCATTTTACAATGAAATTGAATGGATCTCAGATCCTGTTGATTTAGGAAAAAGAAAAAGAAATGATTCTAGTGAACAAATTATTACTTTTTATAATGCTTCAGGTCCAAATAAACAACAAATTTTAGTAGGAATTAAGAATATTGAGTATTGTGGAGCTCACATTATGTTTTTTCGAAGAAAAATATTCCTAGTGTAAATTTTAAGCCAATGCTTTATGGTTCTTCCTTCATAGCACCCGAGGACAACCAGTGACAGGCACTCTTTCTAGAGTTTCTAAGCAATAAGGAAAGACGCATTAGCAAGACTTTAGTTGTTCTAGAATATTTCAAAACCTTTCTCAAAAATTAAATGGTTGAAATTCATTTGTGAGTGTCCTAAATAGCACAGTTTTTGATGTTGGTTTAGATGAAAATGTATAGACAAGATGTCATCGATAATGAATAGGCGTGTATTGATTCACCCCAGTTGTCATATGATCAATAAAAAGAAATAAAAACTGATCAATTTATAACCTTGGAAATTAATCAATATCAATGTTTCTGAGCTGATCGAGATATACAGTAATGCGTCGAGAGTCACAATAGATATAATGGATAAGTCATTTTTAGACTCAGAATCGATCGGGTCTGAGTTTGAGACTAACATGATGAACTCTAGAATAGGATAAGGATTAGAACATCTCTCTCGATCAGAATACAGAGCACGAAAAAAAAAAGCTTATTCTGCACATCTTTATTATTTGCCAGTAAAATCAATAATTAAAATAATTATACGGTTAAATTAAGAAGAAAACCAGAAATACGAAAATGAAAAACAATGAGCGAAGAGCAACAAAACAAATAAAGAATAGACTGTCAGCAAAAAAAAAGAAAAATTACTTTTGCTGAAGATCGATTATTTTTGAAACATAACCATATTCTATTAGAGATTTTCCATGTAACGTCTTTTTTTAGTAATATAATAAGGCTTAAAAACAAATGTGAGTTCCACATTTTAACCACAAATTAAATTTCACTGAGAAAATTTTTCATAATAATATGCTGTATTCTATTAGCGAATGGTTCTACATGTGGATTTATTTCATGAATCATATCATTTATCATTATATGCACCATTCTGGATTGTTAATCATACTGATCTTAATCTTGAATTTCGAGTTTGTTATCGTATTTATTCTTTTTTTTTTCGTTTAATAATTTCAATTATTTTTATATTTAGATCGGTAATGATAGAGTATTGATTAAAGATACTGAAAACTCACTTCTTGCCTGTCCGGAAAAATATAAAAGTGATACAAGTGAAAAAGTATAATCTTGATTGAATAAGCCTCACATATTTTCCTTTATGCATTCCTAGGGTCAAATTCGGTTGTATAGTATGACACAAGATGATTCAGCGAAGTATTGGTCAGAAAAGTTTTCACTTGATGTTATCAAAAGTGTAGGAATGGCTAGTTGCAAAGGACTTAATGATAAAACATACATGGTGATTAATTTTTTTAATACAGAAAAGAAATAACGAGCTTCAAAACTATATTTTATGTTATTAAACAGGATGCAAAAGTTTCTGATTCTTTAAGATCCTTAATCATAGCTTGAAATTCGATATGTCAACATCATTAAGTTGTGTTAGTTGCTTTTCTTAGTATTCATATCTAAACATGAATTCGTTTAGTCTACAACATGTTTCGTCATGTTTGACTATATTATTTTGTGAGTTATTCTCCTTTAGTTTATCATTTTTAGTTGAAAATTAATATTAAAGAAATCGTAACTGAATCAATTGAATTGAGAATATTGTTGTCTCACTAACGAATAATAGTTTTCACCAAATTATTGAAGAATTAGAACAAAAGTTTTTAATAAATTTTCTCTCTTAGGGGAGCAGTTTCCAAAACATTAATTACTTTTGAGTCAGGATTAGAGATTGCGAAATTAAAAAATAAAACTGTACTAGGGCCGAGTCAACATCAGAGTTACTCAGGCTATGACTGGGACCGGAATCGGAATCGGAAAACAACATGGTCCAGTACATCTCTAGTTCTAACAGTGTGCAGCATATAGATCCTAATGAATTATGAATATACTCACAAGAGCTAATGCTGCTAGTTTATAGAACTGCTCTTTTTACTGTATTTGTTTCTCAAAAGCCATAGTTCCTTGAGAAATATTGAAAAAACTGACTTTCGAATATCGACTTGATATTTTTCGCAAGCCTAAACTTACAAGTTAATAGTTCATTGCGAAAGCTTCAGATCATTTCATCATTCCTATCTAAAGATACAGCTATGATAAAAGCGTATCTTTTATATCGTTCATATGATTTTGATTTTCTTATTTTAGGATAGAAGCAACTTAAAAGACCTGCAATTTTCACAGCAAACTATTCTGTTTAAGAGATCTATCGATATACAAAATATCAAGTCGAATTTCAAAAATCATGTTTTCGAATGTTCCTGAGACGAACTAGGAAGTTATACTAAAAATTAGAGTATCTCGACAACAACAGTCGTACATCAGTTAGGAGATTTTCTTCGTTAGTACCCATGCATTATTAAAGTTCGATATTTTTTGTATTGTGTGTAAGTTAAAATGAACTCATTCATTTTTTTGTATAGATTTGTGTTGATATAACAACAAGTTCCTTTGGTTTAACAAAAATTGTTGCATTATCACCAGCTATGGTTATTATTAATCAATCTTCAGTACGATGACTTAATTCTTTATTTCATGTAAAATCTTTTTCTCTCTTTAGATTCCTATTGAAATCGTTGAAACTTTAATGGGTAAAGAACAAGGTCAATGGACTTTCGTGGAATGTGATGGAGTATGTATCAATTTATAGATATATAAACTTGTTTTATTATCGATCTATATGCATATACATAGATTATTCCTTTTTGGCCACAAAATCCTAAAGAAGGTTTAATACGTGTTCGTTATGCACATAATCAAAAGAAATCGAAAGCATTTTCAATGAATAAAAAACATCATACATTACTCTATATGAATGATGACGAACGTTTAGTTATTTTTGTAGAAGTTATTGCTACTGATTTTGATGGTGTTCGAGTAATTTTTAGTGATTACAAACAAGGTGATGCACCCGTATTACTTATAAATCATACACATGATCAATTAATTTCGTTTGTTCAAAAAGATGATGTGTAAGTCAACTTTCTTTTTCTTTCCAAAATGTCTCAATGTTAAAAAAAATTTTTTTTTTGTTATTATAGGAGAGCTCAATATTTAGTACCAAAATATTTTGTCTATTATACATGGATGAATCCTTTAAAACCACGTGAGATGATTGTCACTTGCAATGACAAATCGAAAACAATTGAACTTAATGTAAGTTAATAGTTTTCCTTGTAGTAGAATTTCACTCATGTTTTTTGGAACTCGAATTATGTTTTTCGAAGGAGAATATAGCTAGTGTGGGGTTCTAAGTCGAGGTTTTGCAGTTTTCATCTCATGATGATCGGAAGAAGAAGACCACTAGTCATCGGATATATTTCTATAGTAGTTAAGAACAGCAAGCGTTAGATTCTTTTTTTTTCAGAACTTCTAAGTAACGGGAATGCATTGTATATAATTGTGTGTGAAGACCTGCTCTATATATATAATGGATTATGTACAGAAGGCTCATTTGTCAGTTAAATCAATGATTAAAATTATAATAACTTTAAATTAAAAAAAAGAATGAAATACGAAAAAATGAAACACAACGAGCTAATAACAACAAAGCAAATAAAAAATAAAGAGCTAGAAATAAGAAAAAATTCTTTTCAAAATGCACACATAAATAAGACAAATTGTTTTGTCGGTGATTGATTAACGCAATCATCCTTTTCAATCTAGTATAAGATTTGTATCTTTGAGAATTAGTGAATGGTTTCATGATTATTACAAATTGAAATGTATCTGAAAATTTAATAAAAATACTGCATTCATTCAAATTAATGTGAATATATTGTTAAACTTCATTATCTTCTATCTTCATGGCAATTAGAAAACAAGCCACATTTGCACATAGACCCATAATAAGCACAATACAATTTTAGTTCGAGGTTTTTTTAAAATACGTTAAAAAATTGGAAATATATGTATGTAAAACATATATCAATATTGTTTTGACAGTTTGTGTAACACTTAGTATTGCTGAAGATTTTTTGCATGTTACAGTGTATCTTAAACAAGAATATGCTAGAAAAAAAAATGATTACTTTTATTAAAAATCAATTCTCTATATTATTTCCAGCATTATAAATATTGAGATATTCTGTTTATTTTTCTATAGCCTCATCGAGGTGATCTTGCTATAACTGAAAACCATGGTACTGTCAATTATATTGTATTTATTGATGGTGTACAAACTGTATTACTTTTCTCGTACGATGAACAAATTATTGCAGCTGCATTAAATGTATGTATTACAATGAATAGAATTCTTGAAATATTTGTTCAAAAATTATATAATGTCATAAACGTTTATTGTGAATAATTAAAAATTTAATTCTTTACTAGTAAAAAAAAAATTAGAAACGATAGTTTTCCTTGTCCTCTTGTTTCAGAATTTGATTCTTCTCTCTAGACGTATTTAATTATAGTATTTCAATTAGGGAACTGTGCAATCCAGATCGGGTTACAAAAGTTTACCTTTTCTCGGGTACGTATTCACAAAAACGTGAATTCACAGCACCTTAATTTCGATCTTAACTAAAGATATGAGATCGAACATCTATCAGTGAATGTCAATGTGTGGTTTTCGCGAACTGTTTACTAAAACGGTACATCGCTAATCAAAAAAAGATGTAGAAATACAAAACTAATAATTAGGACTACTAACTCTTCCCACAAACCGCAAATCAATAATGTCTCGTTGTAATGTATAAACTACTTTTCTTTACTGTATTTCTGGAGAATTAAGTAAAAGAATGGTAAAGAACTGTGTCCTAAAATAGATAGAATCAAAACAACCTCTCTGTAATAAGCAAGAGCAACTGTGTCGTGTTTTATATTATAATCCTGTAGGGATCGCGCTAACAGTCTTTTATAATGAAAGTCTACTGCTTTGATCACTGCCTGAGAAATTACAAGAGAATATATTCAACTGTCGGAAGCCATTCAATTTTCATTATAGCTACGAGTGAATATCGTTGAGACTAAAAAGGCATTTTCGAAGAATCCAAAACAAAGAGTATCCAGCTGAAACTATTTCTATATATGCGTTTGATAGTTATTAGATAATCCTGAAAGTTTCAATAAAAATAGAGATGTTTTTCTCGAGTTTTTCAATATCTAAAAACACAACGGTTCACACAGAACTATCTAATGACCTTCCAATACACCGATAAACATTGTTTCATCCCGACAATTCTTATTTTAGATTTTTCAAAAATTACTTGTTCTCAGTAAAAACTTCATTAAGACAGTCATAAATCCTTTCAACAGTACGTCATAGCGTCGTATCCTTTTAAGCTTTTCTTAGTCTCATCGAGACATCCTCGTAACCATAATGCAAAGTTGAATGGCATCCGACAATTGGATACATTTTTCTCGTGTTAGAATATTTTATCAATAATTAAACAAGAGAATCAAATCATTGAAGAGTATTCGATCATTAAATCTTATTTATTAAACTTTATCTTAGATGGAAACATATTACAGTACATACTTCGAAAAGACCTTTTATAAAGTGATATTTTGTTTGATTTTATCCGCTATAGATACCATCTCCAACTCAATCCATCTGTCGACGTCTTCAACTTGGTATTTCTGATGTTGGTCTATCAATTGTAAATGATGTACAGCGAGAAGAACTTCTTTATATTAGTTTAAAAAAGTCAAAACTTCTTTGGGTTCAAATAAGAAAATCTCGAGTGAAACCATTTTCACATGATGTCCACACACATTTAGAAGAGTTATATAAAATACATCTACAACTAATAGAAACAAATCCAAATGATGAAACTTTTCGTCGAACGAAATATCAAATACCTGAATATCATGTATGTTTCTTATTATATATTAGTTATTATTCTTTTGTTTTCTTTTTATGAATTTCTTTTTACATTGAATAGGAAGTTACGTTTTATGATAATGCTGCTGAATTAATCAATAAAAAAGGTGAACATAAATTAGCTAAACGACAATCACTTCATGGATTATGGATTGAATATACATGGTCGATGACTAATGCAGCATTGTATGCTTGTATTAATCATATTCAAATTGATAATCAACTAGACTCTACCAATTTTCCAAGTCTTCTCTATCCAATATTATCTAAAACAGCAGACTCTGATATTAGTAAGAGATAAATTAAAATTAAATATAAATCTGTTTTTTTTTGTCGTTTCTTTTATTCTAGCTGAAAAACCATTTATTGAATTAAGTATTTATGAATCGAAAACATCACAATCAAATATAATGCATTTTCAGTAAGTTATTTACAATAAATGAATATTTAAACATATAAATATAAATTGACGATTTAGATATTGCAAATTACTTATTCAAGAATTTGTACTTCGAATTGATCAAGGTTTAATTTTAGCTATTCTTACTTTCCTTAGAAAAGAAAAGGTTTGTTTTATCTCTGTACAATTTTTATTCTATCGAGAATATTTAGTCATTTGTTCATTTTGTTTTGTGGATTTAATATACAAATGAAATGAATCTTTACAAAAACCGTTCTCCTAGTATAGTTACATTTGATTAAAAAACAGAAAGATTGATCAACGTGAAAAATGGCTCCTTCGAGAAATTTAATTTCTTCTATGTCAACTATCGCAGAAAATAAGATCTCATAGAAATAGTCAATGGACATCACATATACATTGAATTCAACTGTTCATAATAATAAACATAGTTTATTTGTTGATTTCATGAATGACCAGACTATTTTCATAAAGCTCAATAGTATTTTTCATGCGCTTCAAAATGAAACAAGAACATCGAGTAGAAAACAATAGTCAAGTAAAGAAATTTCAAGGTGACTATTCTTCAGACATGATTTTATGGATTTTTAAGTTTAATATTTAGTCAAATTCGATTATAAAAATACAATTTGAATAAGAACTAATATGACATTTTAAATCAGCATGTAAAACTGAGTGAATTTTCATGTATTCCAAAAATATTCGTAATCTTTTTTTTCTTCAAAAAATTCGCTCCTGATGTCCCTCAGGATTGCGTCAAGAAAATGAATTCCATGATAACTTGACCTTTATTGTTTATTCATATGGTATTTAGAGTTCAACTGTCATTCCATCATCTTAAAACTTCATTTACACTTTCAAAATAACTTTTCAATAAAATCAAATTTTTCATTAAATTCTGAGGTGGACCAGAAATGACTTTTTCGACAAAAAAGAGATCTCAAAAATTTTTGAAATATACGTAAGTCTACTCCGTTTTCGATATTGATTTAGAATACTATAATACATTTTTTTCAAATTGTATTTTAATAATCGAAACCTACGAAACATCAGGCAAAAAAAATTGAAATACTTGAAAATTAACCAAACCGATAGTAACATTGAATGTTGTTGACACACAAATTCATTGAACAATCTGGGCAATACTTGAAATTAGAGCAGATCAGGACTATGTGCTTCATGTGAAGTTAATGAAAAGTACTATCAAGCCATATGAATACTAATTTGGTTGGTCTTCGGATCGATAAATAAAAAGAGCTGACTGTTCTTAACAGTCAGGAATACTGTACCCACGACAGACATTTACCATTTCGGTCGGCCGGAATACAGCACAAATAAGTGTTATGGGTCTAATTCTACCAAGGATCACTTTGAGACACCTTGAGTGAGAGCTTGACATGGCAGAAATCATTTTTCTGTAGAAGTCTGATTGCATCGGTTGTTCAGCTCCTTCTTTTCTCAATGAAATGAACGACTGATTGATATATTTTCTAATTGGATATTATTACAGAATACAATGATACCAATGATCAATATGGATACTGATTTAGAACATATTCAGAAGTCTCTTCAAGCTATTATTAAAGTACAAACTGACACTCCAATGGGTGAAACACGAATGTACTTTGATAACATTCACTTATCACCACTTAAAGTACCTATTTAAAAATCATACAAACTTTTTTTTAACTTAATCTTTCCACCATACGATAGATTCATGTTAGTTTTTCAATGCATGGATCAAAACCGAAGGAAGAATTGTTTGCTGAATATCCGCTTGTTGGATTTATTTTGCGAACATTGAATGTTGCTGAAGTAAAAGATGTTATTCTTAGGTAAGAATCTTGTTTAAGGTTGGCCCATCAAATTTACTTTTCTTGAATGAATACTTAGATTGGGTTTTTATGAAAGATCATTCGATCGATTCACTGTAACGAAGTTAAAAAATGAAGTGTCAGCACATTATCAAAATCAATTTTTTAAACAAATTCATGTTCTTATACTCGGTTTGGATGTATTAGGTAATCCACTTGGTATCATTCGAGGTATAGCTGAAGGAGTTGAATCATTATTTTATGAGCCATACAAAGTCAGTTGTACTGATTTTTGATTTTTATGTATTATTTGATTGAAACATATCTAGGGTGCAATCGAAGGTCCACTAGAGTTTGCTGAAGGTATGGCTACTGGTGTTTTAACATTGGTCGGTTCAACTGTTGGCACTGCTGCTGGTGCAGTTTCAAGAATTACAGGTGTAATTGGAAAAAGTTTAGCAACACTTACATTTGATGACGAATACAAAGCTTCACGTATTCGTCGTAGAGAACCAGAAGCTAATGCGGTTACAGATATTGCTGCTGGTGGAAAAAATGTAGTCATGGTACGTTTACATCAACATATATTCATTTATAATATATGTTCAGTTTTACAATATACATTATCTTCTTGAGATGTTAGTTGATCTACTTCTGAAGGCAATAACAAAAAATATGTACAAGCTTTGATGATAAGAATAAAAATGTAGATTGACCGACTTTTCCGCACAAAATGAATCCTTTTCTGTTCTCACTACCTCAAAGTAGGTGTTAAACAACTGCACCCACAGTCACACTCACACCTGACTCTTAACCATTAACTGAACAGAAACAAAGCATTTCTCACGTAAGTGTCGGCGCGGTAGTGTCACGTGCAAAATGCTGTGCAAGGAAGTGCCGTGACATGGTCTTGTTTATTAACTATATTCCCATCTTTGATTCTGCAATGCACTAGTCAGGGAATCTTAATCGCAAAGTCTGTGAATTTTGTCTCAATGAAAAAGTTTATCAAAGTTTTTAAGATGATTTTAATTTTAAATAGATTTCAGTTACATAATTATCTTAAAATATTGATTTCTATTTAATGTATATTAATAGGGATTTGTCCATGGTGTAACTGGTGTCGTTACAAAACCAGTAACTGGTGCAATGCGTGGTGGTGCATCGGGCTTGGTGAAAGGTTTAGGAAAAGGTTTATTAGGTCTTGTAGCACAGCCCACTGGTGGTATTGTGGATTTTGCTAGTACTTCACTTGATTTAGTTAAACGGTACAATAAGAAATGAAAGTTACAACGAACAAGAATGCCTTTTCGTGTATTTTTTGTAGTACGGCTACACAAGAAAAAGTTGTTCGCCGTGTTCGATATCCACGGCATGTTGGTCGTGATGGCCTTGTTCGTCCATATATTCCTCATGAAGCAATGGGTTTATATATTTTAAATGTAAAACAAAAAATATCTTATGTAGACTGTCTTTCATTAGTTCTTTTCTAACTTTAGCGACTTGAAAATAGACAATATGCAAAAACGGATACCTATGTTGCTCATATTATATGTTCAGAAAACCCATTGAGTTGGCTCATGGCTACTTCAAAGTAAAGTTCTTTTGTTTATTTTTGTTTTTCAAGACTTCTATGAAATTTAGTTTTTTTATTTTAGACGTATTTTATTTATTACAGAGATTTCATTGCTTGGTATTTATGAGGTTGATTGGAAAATGAGTTATGTAGACCTACAAGAAATACCCGTTATCATATCTGATAAAAAGGCAATTCAAATATTACTGAAAGTACGGAAACAGTAGCATAATGAAACAAAATTTTATGTGACCTTGAAAAAAAAAACTAAAGATTTTATATTAAAGGTATCCCCTTTCTGTAACACAAAAGCTTTTTTACGGCTATTGTATAGTCTGAAATAGTATCTATCTACTGACTAGGGAACCTTCCACGGTGCGGGAGCGCTTTTCAATGGGGGTTTCGTGCATCTTGTAGCCCGTAGTGAGCTATGCTTACGGTAAAAAAAGTTCGGGTTTCTGGCTTGTTTCTGAGGAGATATCGAGCTCTTAGTGAATTTTCTCTATTGTACGCCTACATTGGCAGCAAAGCTATACTTTCGAATTTTGACCTGAAACTTTGCCTACATAAAGGCCTCAGCTAGACTAGTTTGCATAAAAAATTTCAGAAGTTTTGAATAAAGTCTCCAAGGGGGAAACGGCGGACTTTTGGACTTGAAGTTACTTTGAGCTACTTTAAGCTACTTCAAGTTACTTTCAGCTACTTGAAGTAGTCTACTTTGACGTACTTTGGCGTACTTTTCTACTTCAAGTCCGCCGTTTCCCCCTTGAAAGTCTCTGTAAGATATGAAACTATCAAGGTATAGTCCCTTTTTCATCAATAATATATATAGTATGCATTTTTTTCAAAGCTTCATATCTTAGAGAGACTTTATTCAAAACTTCTGAAATTTTTTATGCAAACTAGTCTAGCTGAGGCCTTTATGTAGGCAAAGTTTCAGGTCAAAATTCGAAAGTATAGCTTTGCTGCCAATGTAGGCATACAATAGAGAAAATTCACTAAGAGCTCGATATCTCCTCAGAAACAAGCCAGAAACCCGAACTTTTTTTTACTATAGACATAGCTCACTACGGGCTACAAGATGCACGAAACTCCGATTGAAAAGCGCTCCCGCATCTTGGAAGGTTCCCTAGTGAATAACTCTTGGAATTCAAAGGTTACCGGTAGATGTTAAAAAATTCGAAAAGAAATCAAACTTACGTAACCGAAATAGCAAGTCACGTTCTTTTCAAACCAAATTTTTTATGAAAAAAGTTCAGAAACATGTTCCTTTTCTGTGACATAGTAAGTCAAATCCAGCTGGAACTTTTCCCCATGTATAATGTACTGTTTACAATGGGTATTAGTTTTTGTTTCAAAAAATATTGTTCTAAGGTTATTTGACATCTCTTACAAAAATAGTAGTATTCAAAACAATCATTCGTTTTTAGAGTATGTCTGACATTTAGACATTATTATTTGAAAGATAGAACATAAAAAAGTGCCCATTGTCAAAAGTGTCTAGTGTCTGTTTAAAAATATTCAGTTCGATCGAACATGGTATCTTGGTAAAATGGAAGACTTATTTTTCACCATTGTGACCTCTTTATCTTATAAGGAGAGAACATCTGAGAACTTTAAATCTATGACAAATATTGCTCTATTCGTCAAGATCTACTTGTTCTGATAATTACAAATTTTTCTGATGAGTCAGTCTCCAGAGGATGAAGAAAAGAGTATGCTCGTGATTCTTTTTTGAAAGACTTTTTGACAAGTTCTTAATGGAAGATTGTTTCTCAAATATAAAAATGAATTCACTTTTTTCATTTTTAATATAAGCCTCATAACACTGGTGCATTTGATGCAAATCGATTATCTGGAAAACTGGTTAAATATCGAAATATTGATGAAGCTCGAGTAAGTTTTTTAATTCAGTTTTCTTTTCATGTTTGCACTTTTTGCGTTCATTATAGTACTTCGTAGACAAAGCTACAAATGCAATGCATTCCATTGGACTATAATGAATCATATTTATATATTATACATCTAGATCATCATTTTTATAAAGACTTAATATGTATATATAATATTTGTCTATAATCAAGAAGGAAACATTGGAAAATTCAGGCTTGAAGTTTGCTGATCCTCTTCGCCTATGATTGCACTATGATTCATTTTTACTAGTCTTTTTTTTTCATCAATAAATATACGTTTTTTTTATATTCGTCAAATTGATATGTAAATGTTCGGACTTCAATGCCGAATAAAAATAACGGATGAGTCGAAAATTTTAAAACAAAATGTTTATTTATTTTAAAACATTTTGAAAGTATTTTTCATGAGTTTAAATCGATCGAATAGATCTAAAATTCAGTACACTTTTCAAATGTGATCTTTGAAAATTTGTCTTCATTTTTGCTCGAAACTAGTAAGATAGCCCACGAAATTTTCAACCAAATGTGTGACACAAAGTTTCTGGGACAAATATTTTCTCATTCTGACCTGCTTAAAAGTATCTTAGGCAGACCAAAAAGTATGAATGATGATTAGACTTTCGTGTTCTTCTTCAATATCAATTTAGAAATATTGTATTTCTTTTTTTCTGAGAGTAGATAAGAGAGTTTCAAAGACCTTCAAAATTAGATTGAATGGTCATGAAATAGGTTTATGCCAATCCTATTAGTGCCTTGTCGAAAGTACTAAAAAAGTATCAGAGTCGGCTGTTTTATCAAGTAAACATTTCTTTACAATAATTGATATTGAACTAATGAGAAAATCTCACCAGGTAACAAATCGCTTTTTTACCGGAGCGATGTCTATTTGCTAAGTACTAGTGAGTCATAGAAAAGTCCAGAATGGTTTGGTTTTTAGAGCCAACGTTCTCAAGATATTAAAATTTAACGAGACTTTTTTAACAAAAAGTCGTGGTACTTCTTAGGTCATGTGAAAAAGTGACTTTCCTGGTATTGACTTCAAACTTTGCACGAACAAAGTCTTTGAGAATGGATTTTTTTTGGCCATGGAAAATTGGTTCCTCAATCAGTTGATTGTATTTCGCTCAAAATGATTATATAAAAACTTGAGGATAATAGATCAAGAAAAGCGAGGGTGCTGTCATGAAGTCAGTGTATAGTAACAGAAAGAAAGAAGAGTATATGAAAAGGATCTATACGACAGAAAGAAAGAGAAAAAGTATATGCATGAGACGATAGATGAGACGACCTTTTACCTTATAGGTTATAACACTTTAATGGAAGACAAACATTTTCTCTATTGGGAAATAGGTAAGACAACGTATGTCCCACCGTTCTCAAAGGATTAAACCGTTAATGACAAATTAAACTGATTATTTATATACTTAATACTTTAGTCCTATATATAACGTTTTTTAAAATCCTACATAAACTCTCATTTCTACTCCTTAAACCATTATTTGTATGTTGAATCATTTTTCTCTTTATCTGATTCTTTATCTCTATATTTACGGCTATATGCTTGTCTAAACCATTATGGCTAACATACTCTGAATGTATATCTAATGTCTTATGTCTGTGCCTCATTTCTTCACGCATACCTTTTCTAATGTATATGTATTTATCGATCAGCTGCATGTATTCACCTATATCAGTGTTCATACTAGTAAATCGATCGACTCGGACACTTGAATATATACTCTTACTATTTAGGTCTGTTAGTCTTTCTGTGTTAAATTGAACAACTGTTGTGCTCTTTAAATTAATTCGAAGCCGTCGAAAGTCAAGTGAAGTCAAATGGAATATACTCGAATGGTGGGAATCCGCTTAATAAACAAGCATTATATCATACGAAAAAGCTTTATCAATTGTTTGCGTCCATAAGGTGAAATAATTAACGTCACAAAAGCTGTTTAGCATACAGAAACTCTGTTTCTGTCGACAAAACGCTTGAGTTTTAATGATTTATCGGAAAATTTTTTTTTTTTTTTATTATGCAATCACTGCGATCCTAAGATCCTAACAGTACCATTTATCGGAAAATTTTCGATAGGCATATACTCGATACTTGTCATATTGCTCCCCGATGTAGCTTCACATAGAAAAATATGAAATCTCAGTGCGCTAATGACATATGCAAACACAATTGCAAAGTGAATGATAAATACTAAAATATAGAAAAAATTTATATGGTAGTGTTCTGATTATTGAACATCCATCTTTATTATGGAGAGGCGAAAAAAAAGTAGTTTAGTACGAAATTTCTGAATACAGTACATTTTATATGTTCACTACGAATTTTTCTTTGCTATCAAATCTGGCGCAGTTGGTATTCACAACCTATGCGATTTGGAAAGTTTCATACATTTCTACTATAGGCTAAAGGCATAGTAAAGTTCTACGAAATTTCAGAGGATTGGTTTTATACATTTTTCTTTGCAGCATAGTTCAAGTTAGTGGCGCTAGAACTGCTCTCAACATTTAAAACCTTTTTTTTTTTTACATGGAATGGTTCTTTCAATTTTTTAGAATGCTTAATGGTTTATTGATAAACAAATGGAACCTTAAAAATTTCGGCATCTTAGTTGCAACCCTCCCTGACTTCTCTTAACACCAATTGATTAAGAGAGTAAGGATAGAAATAAGGGGTGAGATGTAGGTATACAGGTTGAGGATAGAATTAACGGGTACAAATAGACTATGCATGTTGGATGGGGTACTTGTCACCAGAATAGAACCTTTTGTTAAGAAGAAAAAGAAAGTTCGGCATAGAAGCATATTTTATTATTACCTTAAAAGGTTTCAATTTTGATAGTAAAATGAATCCTTTTTTGCAGAAACAACAAAGTTGTCAAGTTCATATATGTACAGAATAGATGAGATATTAGTTAGTTAAAAAAAAAAGAATAATGAATCTTCAAGAAGAAGAACATTAAAAGTCATTCAAGATGTTTCGAGTACATTAATACTACTAGAAAATAATAGAGCATTTTTCACTAGTATATTTATTACTCAGAGTAATATTAGAACTAAATTTTATCTCTTAGCGAAATCAAAAACGATTGATTTCGCTCATCACTAGAAGAGAAAGAAAAAAAAGGATGCACATGTCTTCATTCAAAAAAAAAAAAGTTAAAATATCCCTTGTGACTATAACCTACAATGTTCAAGTTAAGAGTAGGAAGGTGTTCATTAGTAGCGATTTCACCTTAGTTTAATTTACGATAATAAATATAACTTTGTGATCATTATTATTATTATGTACAATACACATCAATCTGTATGTGCAACTCATACAGTTGTTGCAAGCAAACAATTTCATATGAATAAGTACGTAAAAATACTTATTCAATCGATTGCTTATGTAAATAAATCAAACTTAAATCATTTATTTTTGTTCTATGCAAAAAAAAAAATGAGTACTTTTTACTAAATAAACAACAATTACTAATGTTTAACTCTTTATATGTCATTAGAAGAGTCTAATTCTTCAAATTATTATACAACATATGTCAATGAGTATTATAATTTCCATGAGGATTATAATTATTCATTTAGATAGTAAGCAAATTATTATGACGTAGGTATATCTTCAAAAATTGTGCTTTTTCCTTCTTTTTCTTATAAGTAAACTAATTTTATGGTAGAATAAACGAAGAAAAAATATTAACAGAAAAAAAGCCTCAACAGAACGACCTTGAGCTTTTTGTATAGATGGTAACTGAAACATAAATATACTTGATAGAATAGGCATTTAACTTAACACATTATGATACTTAACATTGAATATTTCATCGATTTGTTTCGATAATTGGTTATATTGTTATTAGAAAAAGACGAGTGATAAAATTTAGTTAATAACCATAGAATTCGTAGGTCATATTAAAACATTGAAACCGTTCATGGTTTTTTATTGTTCTTTTACAATGATTGATTTTTTTTTTCACCATTCTATACTATCAACGTGTACACCTGTTGTGTCAAGCAAAACAAATATTTTTTCTTTCTTTCTTTCTATTTTCTTACTTATGGACGATAAAAAAATAAATTTCAGAAAGCAAAAAAACCCGATCTCATATGAGAAAATGTTGACTTTTATGTCAATAAACGCTCAATAGCAACCATTATTTTGACTATTGCTATTTTTCGTTAACATGTCTGCTTCACCGAAGAAGCATCTACAATCTCAAGAAAATGTAAGCATTTTAACTAATTTTTTTTCAAAACAAAACTTTCTTTCATTTTTAAATGATTTAGACCGTTCAAGTTAATAATGATGATAATAATAATAATAATAAAATTATATTACAGGATACAATCAATCGTCCCACTAAAAAGAAAAAGAAAAAAAAATCACGTAAATCTTCATTAGCAATAGATCATACAATTCCATTAGTGGATAATAATAATATTGACATAAATATTCAAACTTCATTAACTGAAAATTGTATTATATACAGAAGTAAATGTCCATGTGATAAACATTATAATAAACAATTAATAGAACATAATTATGATTTACCAGTTGATCAATTATTTGATTTAATATTTGGTTCAAATGAATTTGTTCGAACATATCGACAAGCTCAACGTCTATTTGGTAAATATTTTAAAGAAGATTATTGATAAAATATTTTCGTTTTTTGTATTATATTTAGATCAAACAGAAACTGAATGGATAACAAATGAAGAAACAAATCTTTGTGAACGAACACTTAATTATAAAGTACCATTTGAAACTAGATTATTGGGTAAAAGTACAATTATAACACGTGAAAAACAAGTTAGAATTCTTTTTGTTTTTAAATTTTATTGAAAATTAATTGAATATTTATTTTCAAAAAACTTAGATACGTTCTCAAGAAGTACCTGGTTCTCATTATGTAATTGAAACTGAAGTGTATAATGAAGGTGTAAAATTTAGTGATACATTTACTCTTATTATACGTTTTTGTCTTGTTCAAATATCACCAACAACATCTAATCTACTTGTAACTGCTCGAATTCAATATATTAAACCTGTTAATGGAATTATAAAACGTTTGTTTTGTCATATTTATTTAAATTATTCTTTACTATATTTTTATCATTAGAATTTATTGAAAGAAATTCTTATTCAGCATCACAAGAAGGTTTAAAAGATTTAAGTAAGAAAATAATTCTATTTGATTGAAGAAAAAAAAATATATATATGATTTGTTTATTATAGATATTCGCCTCAATGCTCTTAAAAACTTTTCAATGGGTACATAAGAAAAAAATTTGTTGTTGCTTTTAATTTTTTTTTTTTTCTATTTTCAAGACAAACCTTGTTTAACTAATGGTGAAGTAACATTACAAGAACCTATTATTGACAAAGTCCATAGCATCAGTCAACATGATATACGTCCTGTAAATCTATCATTATCTAATAATAATAATAATAATGCAAATGTAGGAACTTCTGACGAAGATAATATCGTGTATATTATCATATTCATGTATGAAATAAAATGAAGTTTTGTTTTTAATTAAGTGAAAATTTATCGTTGTGTTTTTAGGGTTGGTATTCTTTCCATAATACATATTTATTTATATTATAAACTTGCACATACAGATTATCTTCTTGACAAATTAAATCATTTATTACAAATGTAAAATGAATTATTTGACTATTAAAAAAAATTATTTTTCTATTTGTTTTGTTTTTCTTTCGGATTTATTGAAAATAAATGAGAAAATATTTTGTTTACTATATTTTTCCAACAGTCCAAAGGAATAATTATGTATTCTTTTTTAATTTGAGATTCTTTTGTTTTTGTTTGATAGAAATTCTTGACAATGTTTTTAGTTTTTGATGACGATCGAAAAGCTCGGATTATTTTAAAAACGCATGACATTTTCGATTAAATATTTGTTTTTTTATTCCTCTTTCATAGGAAAAAATCGTTGGTGTAAACGAATAAACTGCAGTAGAATATAAGGTTGGACACGAAATTCTTTCATTTCGATACAAAGCACTGTATAGTAATCCTTCATGAATTTTTTTCTTTCTGAACAAATAACTCGGCATTGCTATTCCGTTTCGCAATTATCTAAAGACCAAAAAGTGGTACGATTTTGTTACAATATTCGATGTTTCTAGACGGCCAATGTTTCTGTCGAAACTTCGATTACGAACTTCCATTCGCTTTCAATTCGTTCTATAGAATGACGATTTCGAAGTGCAAATTCTATTTATTTTTTTTCGAAATAATGAAAACAAGTTTTAGCAGCAATATTAAATGTGCATTAGATCGAATTTTGCTGCGATCTTTCGAAGTTTTCATGATATTCAAGATTTTCTTGACAATGGCATTCTATTTTACTCAGAAATAGAAAATTAGAATGATTTTGAGATTAAAAAACTCAATGAAAATTTGATTAAGAACTTTCGTGCATCAAAGTGTTAGAAATTTCATGAGAATTCGATATAACATTTATTGATTTTCAAATAACCAATTCTGGTTACATATATATATATAATTAAATATTCATTAAACTTATCTTTCGACTTTGATGAGTCCAGTTTACGGGTGTGTTATCTAATTTTAGACATTACTTGTGCCAAAATTATTTGAAAATAGCTTAAACAATCAGAACATAACTATACAGTATGCAATGATGCTCTTAATACAAAATAGAAAAAAGATATTCATTGTTCTATTGTGATGCATTTTTGTCCTTATATAAAAACGGAAGATGAATTTATTACTTATGATGCTTGATATTCTCTCAAGTAGACAGCAAAAGATTTATTTTAGATAAATCAGATATATGTTATCTATGTATCAATACTTATTTCGGCACTATCTCACATATGTGATAATAAATACAAAAAAAACAATAGTACAACATGAAACTGAAGAGCTTATTAAAATCTTTGATTATAAAATATTATCTAACCTATTTTTGATTAAAATTACTTTATATTCTTTATACATCTAGTTAAACTTGGATGAATGTTCATTTGACCTTGCAGAAGTTAGTCGATATCAAGCTATGTAGAATAAAAGCAGAAATACTTTTTTTTTGTAATTTATTGTAAATTATTAATAGATCAGATGTTAGCATATCTTTTTTTCTCTAGTATATTAATATTCTTCACTGTCTAGTTCAATATCGAAGTCATCTCATTCTAAGTGCTTAAATAAATCAACGCAAAAGCTCTTAATTAGTTATTGATTTGATTCAATGCAAAGTAAAAATAGTCAAATGAACAAATTACGCTATTGTAATCTGTTGAATAGCTATTTTTAGTTAATTAATATTGTGATTCATATTATAGAAATTAAATATTAATAAAAATCTAAGAATAAATTAGAAGATTATTTAATTCTAATAAACATCAATAATCATTAGTATACAATGATATCATTATTGTTTTTGATTTTTGAAGTTTTTTTTTAATGACAGCAGAGTTTGTTAAAGTCTTAAAAGATCATGATTATTTGTTCTGAATATTTCACGCTTGATTTATCTTTAATTTTCTAATTAAAACATCGAATACCAGTGTCTGATCTACATATAAGTTCAACATTTATACTATATACTAATTGGAACTGTTTTGATGTTGCATATTACAGATCAACGAAGATCATATTCTTTATGATAATTTGACATTCTATCGGACTTCTTCTTCGTCTCGGAAACTAATCAGTTTTTTCTTCGATTGTTTTCGTAAACAGAAAAATAAGATCATGTTACTAATCTGTTATTTACTTACTTACTTTATTGAACTTTTTGATCTTAATATTTCTAAGAGACTGTCACATCAGAACAAATGTATCTGTTAGAATAACATATAGAATATCAAAAAGGAAAAAAGCCAAGATTACAATACAATCTTGATGATGATCGACTATGATAGAAGCTAAATGAGAAAGAACCCGATGAATCTCAAAAAGAAAGACTACACTAGGAAGTTTCTGAAAATTCAGCATATTATTTACTGTTTTTGTCATCAAGATAATCACTACTAAGTCTGATAAACTATAGTTTGACGATGTGTTTCAGACCCAATCAAATACAGTTACATGAACACAAATCATTAAAACGGTAAAGAGATTGTATTGGTTTTTTTCCCTCTTGCTGCTTGAAACGATTCATATTTAGTTATGATTACTCGAATCACAGATAATCATTCGAAAGTTTATCAAATTTACTTAGATATATTGTCCCGTGTATATAACATGCATCATCAAGTGTTTGTTTATTATAGACAAAATTGAAAAAGAAATAACAAAACTAGAATACACAAAAAATAAATTAACATGAATATTAAGAAGGAAACCAAACCAAATGTAAGAGACATTGATTTTACAAATTTATTCGAGTTGACTATAGCCGTTTGTTAACAAATTGTAATTTGAATACAACTAATGACCTATTACCAGTTAAGTTTTGTTGTTATTCAGCAAATGCAATACTTCAATGATGTGAGTCATTCAGTCAAATACGCATCAAGCTTAAGATCGAATATCAGGGTTTTAATAAAGCGATTTCTTGTAAAGACCATAGCATCTGATATTTTAGAATGTTTAATCGATTGTCCAAAGAAAGACAATGTTTTTATATCTGCAAGCATCATGTTATCGCTCTATGGAAATAATACACTATTCGAATTCTCTTTGTTTTTTTGCAAAAAAAAACGTGACTAACATGTAAAAATGATTAAATTATTTAAATTGTCGGAAATGCAAAATAAAAACAGAAGTTTGTTTTTTTGTTTTCTTTATATATGGTTAGATAGAGTGTGACAGACTGATTCAGAATATGTGTATTTTTAGATTTTTCGAATAATTTTTTTAGAGAGGGAAATTTTCAGATGATCTACATTTTCTAAAACAACAGGTCAATTTTCGAGTTTTCATTTTCTTAAAATTTTATAAATGTCTGTTTGAGACTTCTCGTGAAAAGGTGAATCTAACAAACATGCTAAATGAGTTTCCTAGATTCATTTTTTTACGCCAAATCTGAAACATATAGTTTTAAACTTTCAAGAAATGAAAAAAAAAATGAAAATTTTTCTCCGAAAAAATTGAAAACACACATTCTTGATCAACTCATTACACTCTCTCTAACGATATATAAAGAAAAGAAAGAAAAAAGTTTTGCCATAATTGTGCATTTACAATATCTTATGTACATACAGAAATTCAAATGAAGAGTATAGTTTGAACAATCTTTTATACAAAAACAAACAAATCTTTGCAGTTACTTGAGAATTACGCATGAACTTATTACTCTCAGCACATGATGGATTTTAATCTCATACAATTTTAATAAACTTAAAAAAAAAAATAATTCGTACTGACAAGCTGTCAGCACCTTAATAATTAATGTTGTCACAAGATTTTCATCATATCCCTCGAGATACCTTTTGTTTCGACTATATATCATGTTGTTTTCTCTAGAGCCTAGTTTTCAATTAGCATGGTTTATACAATACAATGTTATTGGAATTTAAGTAAAAGGTTATCATGTGCGTATTTAGTTATTTAATAAACGAGCTTGTTAAATCGCTCACTGGAAGAAAAAGCAATACTCTTTTTGACATGATTTTTCATATAGAATTATTAGTAACATCTGTTCAAGATATTTTTTCTTTTTTTTTTTTATGATTCTAAACGAGAAGATAATCAAATGATGATATTGTGTTTTTATCGAAAATAAAATAGTTATGACTGAAATATCAAGTGTTGATTGTTAACCTTAATGTTTTACTGAAGATCTTTTGTCTATATATAGATTGTTTGAAAAAATTTTGTTTTCATATTATTTTGATACAATGACATGTTTATAATAAATCAATATTTTCTTAGCTCCTATATCCTTTGTTTTGTTTATAAATTATAGGGTAAGATCGATGTAACCAATGGTGTGAATTGCTTTGTCTATCATGTTTTATTCTTTTTTTTTCTGCTTTGTTAATGTGTCGTTTGTCATCCATTGAAAAATAGAATCTATAATGATACAAGAAAACAAATTTGTACTGCATTGATATATGATAATTTTTCGAAATCATGGAAAACTATTGGAATAATTATGCATGGAGATATTTATTTGAATGTATTTAGATATCAAAATAGATCTTTTAGATTGACTCATGAAAAGAATTTTTAATTCTGATCAAAATTCGTTACATGTTTTGCTTATTGAAAGAAAAGAAGAAAAAAAAAAGAAACGGTTGTCAACTATATGAAAAGAGCACACTCATCATCATCAGCAACAACAGTCTAATCATAGAGAGAAGGACGCCTAGCAAGAAGGAGAACGAACCATGAATAATAGATCGAAAAAAAAATCTATTGGTGTTTTAAGTCTAATGTTAATTTCTTTCTTACATTAAATCAAATGAAATTGTAACGACTATTTTTGATTAATAATATTTCACGTGAGTAAATCTCATTTTATCCTATTTATTATAAATAATTGCCATTTAATGTTCGTTTTTTTCCTTCCTATAAGAATAACAAATAAAAACTTAACATAAAAATGTTTCTTGAACATTTTCTAATGAATTTATACGATACAATAGATATTACCAACAGTAGATATAATTTTTTTTGATAATTTATAAACATAGCTAGAAAACCGATAGTTCTTGTTTCTTTTAA